TGTTTATGGTATCCAGATATGTATGATTCTTGGTTGAGGACTTCTTTGTACTAGGGTGTGGGTGCTAGTTAACCCTGAAAATTAATATTTGATCAACATTATTAGGCATTGCAGGGAACCTGAATCAGAGCCACATTTTTTTTCCAAGTGGCACACAGTGAACATTTGCTGTCCTGTTTTCAGTTTTTCATTGTGAAAGCCATCTTTCTTGGTAAAAGAATATTGACTTTCTGTTGTAGACTATATACCCAGATTGCATTATTCTATTATTATATTTGGTAGCAGACTATTCAAATGTTTATTCCTAAGGTCTTTATAGTTTTTTCTTCCTTAGTGATTTATTCTGCATCTGTCTCTTTAAAGAAAAAAGATTCTCAGATTTTTGTATCTGCTTTTTTATTGTGGAAATACCACTCATCTAAAATACTTATAGGTATATAAAGAATTCTTTAAGTTTTTTCCCTGTAAATATAATGATTAAATTAAGCCAGTGTAATTTTTTTTTTTTTTTTTTTTGGTCTTGGGGCTAGAACTCTGGGCCTGGGAACTGTCCCTCAGCTCTTCAGCTCAAGGTGAGCATTCTACCACTTGAGCCACAGTGCCACTTCCAGTTTTCTGGTGGTTTATTGGAGATAAGAGTTTCACAGACTTTCCTGCCTGGGTTGACTTTGAACCGTGATCCTCAGATCTCAGCCTTCTGAGTAACTAGGATTATAGGTGTGAGACACTGCACCCAGCTCAAGCCAGTGTATTTTTTTAATGCAGCACATAAACTATGAAAATGGACCTATTTTATCTGGTAATAAGTAAAACAAAAAGCTGCTTTCATAACAATCATGATACTAGATTTCAAGATCATTACTGCCAACAGTTAGTTTCACTCTTTGAAGCTTCAATCAATTGTCCATAATGTCCTGGGAGATAATGATAACTTTCTGTTATGTTAAAGTCATCAGCACCATTGAATTATTTTGTGAATATGATGAAAACCTCTTTGCAAAAAAAAAATCTATATTTTAATTTTCAAGCCTCTTAAGTCGAGGAATCTCAGTCTTTGTCAATACTAATTCAGGGGCATACATTTGATAGTGTGTGGTTTTGAGCTAATAATATCTTCACTTATGAAATAGAGGAGTAATTCTTCTTCTGGATTGGTGCCCAGGAGAAATGCTCAACAACTGATGAAAAGCTGAACTATTCTAGTTAAATATGAAGGGTTGTGCAGGGGTTTACCTCTTCTCCAAACTCAAAAATTGAAATGAAAGAAAAAAAATCTTGTAAATCAAACCGTAAGAACAGAGAGAGTGCACATTTCCTCTTGGCCCTTACTTAGGAAGCTCCTGAAGGAGGTTACTCAGCAAAGCAAGTAAAGCAAATAAAAGGCATGGATGATCATAGGGCATGAAGTAGAAGTCCATTTTGGTAGCAGCCAGTCCAGACTACCAGACAAAACTGAGGGCACAGGGAAGTGAGCTTGGGAGGAGCTGATGGATGATTTAGTTTCAATGATTCCATCAGTTACTAATTGCTCAGACCTTATTGACTGGTCCTTTCTAACAAAATAATATATACATAGAAAACTAGGGCTAATCTTGGTTTGATAAAGACAACAAAATCAGTTCACTCAACTGTTAAAGCCCATCTTCTTGCAGCTCTTCTAGCCATTCCAGCACTTATCTCCATACTTTAGCACAATAGAAGTTCTGTTTCTTGCTTTTGTTAACCTTGGGAACTGTCTGGCTTTGTGTCATGGAGGTTGAGGAGGTAAACCACCATACCCACTGCCTAACACTAGTCTCCCAATATAGTTTTATTGTAATCTTTAAAAATTACATGCTAGAGTTTTCATTGTTAGAACTTCTTATTCTTTTTATTAACATTTAAATATTATGTCCACATTTATTTAAAACATTTTAAGACCTTAAAGGAAAGTCAAAGGTGATTTTGAGATACCAGTAATAATGTTAGAATTGATCTCCCTTTCATTTTATTCTATTTCACTGGTGAAGAAGAGGCTATAAGCAATAAAGTGATTTCTGTGACTTCAGATAAAGTGCAAGACCTCACTCCTTAGGCAGTACTGTAGTAATACTACATCTTTTCCAGTCTCATTCCTTCCTGTCTTATATGTGTATATAGGAAATGATTTTGAGAAATGTTGCTAAGACATTGGTAAATGCTTTGTGATTTTCTTTAGAAGTGGAATAAAAGTTTTTTTTAAATTGCCTGTGCTCTTTAATATTCTTTACTATAAAGGAAGGAAAATGTTTGCAATGCAGGGAGTTGGGTTTTGTGTAATTAGTAAAAGTGCTCCTGATAAAGACACAATAGTAAGTCTTAGTAGCATAATGTAAGCAAAGGAAAGAGAGAGAGGGGGGGGAGGAAGGGAAGGGAGGGGAAGGAAGGAAGGAAGGGAGGAAGAAAGGAAGGAAGGAAGGAAGAACAAACAATAAACATAGGAGTGGTTGCCTGTGCAGTTTCCCTACTAAAGGAAAATGGTTATAATATAAAATATGCATGCTTTGTTAAGTTCCAGTTGTCTTTAAAGTGTTCTTGATGCCTATTATAAACATTAATAATAGAAAGTTAGACTTATTTGGCTTTGTTATACAAGAGAAGGGTCATGATCTACGTGTCATTTTTATTTTCCTGCATCATTTTTTATTTCCTTTGTTGGTGTTAGGGATGGAATCCAGGGCCTCATGCATGTTAGGCAAATGCTTAATCATTGAGCTACTTCCCCAGCCCTCTATTTTTAAATCTGATGCTGTACAGAAAGCATTACTAAAAACCAAACATTATTTTTAATGTCATTTTAAAGGTAGTATTTTTTATTTTACATTTTTTTCTGGTTATAATATATGAGTTGGTATATTTGAAATAAAGCAGAAATACAAATTCCATTTTATATGATTATAACATGGAACTAGTAGCCTACTTAACTAGTTCTCCATTATTAAAATACAACAGTATGTGATGATCAAGTAGTACAGTATTATGTACCACACAATGGCATCCCCATAAAGTTATCTTGCCTACTGTTATCCTAGCTGTCTTAGTCTGTGCATGTACACTCTGTAATAGTCATGTATTGAATAAATTATCTAATGGCACATTTTTCAGAATGTTTCCTCTATGATTGTCATGCCTGCCTGTATTTGAAAATCCTGACTTGTCTGTTTGATTGAGGTATGATTGTTATTTAATGATTCAACAAATTGGAATCCATCAGATGGCAAAACCTAAGTACATTTCTATTTCTCTTTCTATATTTGCTCTGTGAAGACGGGCACACAACCTTTCAATCGTGCAATGCTCTTCAACGTGGGCTTCAAAGAGGCCATGAAAGACAGTGTCTGGGACTGTGTGATCTTCCATGATGTGGATCATCTCCCTGAAAATGACCGAAACTATTATGGATGTGGAGAGATGCCACGTCACTTTGCAGCTAAGCTGGATAAATACATGTATATGTAAGTGGTGCTCACTATTTCTGATACCATATGATGTACAGTTGGAGCTTTTTTGGCTTTGGAACAGCACTATGTGCCTAATGCTAAAACAGCTCAGGATCCTAAAGAGTACCATTTTTAGCTCCAGTCTATCCTCATTGGGAGCTAGGACATGGAGTGCCTGGTCATCTATCTGGGCATTTTGTATTACAAAGAGGTTTGGGTGTGGTGTGATAGAGAGGAATCTAGTTTCTGCAAACACACAGACACACAGACACACACAGACACACACACACACACACACACACACACACGGGTTACAATTACATGGGCAAGATAATGAGTACATTTCTTAGGGAGCATTGTTGCCTCCTCTTTGTTTCCCCTTCCCATCCCTTTCCATCTCCCACCCTCTCTCCCCCCTCACATATATATTTAAAATTTGGTGGAACTTATCTAGTCTCTTGTACTTGTGAAGTTTGGTTTCTTTTTCGTTGTAACACTATTGCCTGTCTATATGGCTATGCCTGGAACAATAATATGCCCACTTGGTAGCTGTGTAACCTATATTGGCTCTTTCTATTTCTTACTACCTTAGAGATAGTTTGGGGTCATGAAAGACCTTCTTCTGAAGTATGTCTTCTTAAACTGTGCATTCTTGGTCTTCTCTATAATTATAAGAAACAAATCTTACTGTTTTCCTTGACATTGCATGAAGACATCTTAAAATGTAAATGGCTGCATAGTTGTGAGAATAACGGAAGCTGACCAAGAGTACAAGTCTAATCTGGGAAAGAGATCACAATTTTTATGGACTTAAATCACAGTTTTGGTAGCATCTGATCTGCAGAGCAGACAGAAGCACAAATCCTCAATGGCAAGAGCAGATGAATTGGCATTAGAAGATTATTTGGGGTTTTAGTTTGTTTTTGGCTTTTTTCATCACCATCATTAGAAAGGTTTTGTCGTGTTACTCCTCATCTGAACTTCTGAGTCTGGGGTTGCTTTAGTGGAGGCCATTGGGATTTCTTGGGACATAGAAACCTGGAATTGTGTTTTAGAACTTCTGGAAACTTAATTTTGGTCAGATTAGTGAAATCAAGTTAGACCCAGTGTTAAATGGCTTTCATCAAAGAATACAAAAAAGTCATGTAAATTAAGAATTCTAAATTAAGTTGTTTTTTGGTCGGTTGTGGGCTTGAACTCTGGGCCTGGGCACTGTCCCTCAGCTCTTCAGCCCAAGGTTAGCACTCTACCACTTGAACCATAGTGCTACTTCCCGGTTTTCTGGTGGTTTATTGGAGAGAAGAGTCTCACGGACTTTCCTGCCCAGGCTGGCTTTGAACTTCAATCCTCAGAGCACAGCCTTCTGAGTAGCTAGGATTACAGGCGTGAGCAACCTGTGCCTGGCTCTAAATTAATTTTTATACTTGAAGATAACAATTTCTAATGGCTAAACCATTCATGTCCATTGGAAAGTAGTGCTTTTCTTCACACTGAGTGAGTTAAGTCCTTCACAAAACCTTAAATCCTTCCTTGCTTATTTTCTGACAGACTTGCTCTAGAGCCAGGCAGATTGCTCTTGTCTTAATTTTGGTTGCTGTCCATGATCCTTTTTCCTCTGTGGTGCTGCATACTCACCTGACTTCTTAAGCATTGCCATTCCTAAGAAGTACTTTCACAACCACTGGAGTTGATTGGGTACTGCAGGTCTGGGGAATTACTTTAACATCAGAAAGCCAATCCATATCTGAACTAATAATGTAGATTATTAAAAATACAGCTCAGAAATACCGCATTATTTGACCAATTACTTGGGATATAAATTAGGGAAAAGTAGGGAAAATAAAATATAAATTAAAAATATAGTTAATCTCTCCAGATATCAGTATGTAAATATATTTGTAAATATCCATTAGTATTTTTTGAATATAATCCAGCTAGTCATTTTGAAGTAAAATACTAGTTTTCTAGTTTATATTTATGCATTAATAAATCCAGTTACTTTTAAATAATGTTATTACTCTAGCAAATTAATTGTAGCACTTATTGCACTATAGATATGAAAATGTTTTATTTCTCCGTTCACATTTTCCAGAACAATATTTGATCAGTCCAGTGTTTTTTTTTTTTTTTTTGAGAACATGGGTGTATTTTGCCAAGCTCATAAGAGACCAAAAGTTTGATCTTGTGTGGCAGACTGTTAGGATTTCATTTTTAGAATACTGTGTCCTGCTTTCTTTTTCAGTCTTCCTTATAAAGAGTTTTTTGGTGGTGTAAGTGGACTGACTGTGGAACAGTTTAGAAAGATCAATGGATTTCCTAATGCTTTCTGGGGATGGGGAGGAGAAGATGATGACCTTTGGAACAGGTATGTTTAGATTCAGAATTGCTTACTAATAGGATGTGTATATTTCATTTCTGTGAGTTAAATTATATTTGCCAACTCCAGGAAAGGATTCTTTGGGACAGAAAATTTTTGAGGTTCCTAATGCTATTTCATCTTTTCTTTCATGAAGAACACCTAAAATCATTGGCAGCATGTACATTTTGAAGTTTGAAGTTGACCTCATGTAATCCATTCTGTATTTGTGTTGTAGAGTTCATTATGCTGGATATAACGTCACCAGACCAGAGGGGGACTTAGGAAAGTACAAGTCCATTCCTCATCACCATCGAGGGGAAGTACAGTTTTTAGGACGGTAAGTTTAATGTCCTCACATAACAAGGATATGAAACTCTTTGATATATAATAGTTTAAAAAATACCTGTATCCCCCTCCCCAAAATCTATGAGAGAGAACATTGTTTATAGAAGGAAGGCATTTTTGTGTTGTTTTGAAGACGTTTTTATATACTCAGTCTCACACAGACACATGCAGACGTATATACATACACACACACACACACACACACACACACACACACACACACAATGCTATACTAATGAATCCAATTAACTAGTCTTTAAAATGCTTCCTTGACACAAAACATCTTATTTTTTTAAGAATGTCTAAGTTATAAACATGCAAAATTAAGCTAGGTCCTGGTGGTTTATACCTGTAATATTGGCTACTCAAGAGACAGATCTGAAGATTGCAGTTTAAGCCAGCCAGAGTAGGAAAGTCTGAGAGAGTCTTACCTCCAATCACCTGACAAAAGACCAGAAGTAGAGCTTTGGCTCAGGTGGTACAGTTCTAGCCTTGAGGAAAAAAAAGCTCAGGGACAGCACCTATGCCCTGAGTTCAAGCCCCAAGACAGCATTAAATAAATAAGTAAATGAATAAATCAATAAGCAAGCAAGGAAAATTACTTTTTTCAAATGGCATTTCTGAGTAGTAAAATGCTAATTTAGAATCATAGTTCAGAGATATAAAGAAAATGCTCATGAGGACCTGAAATTGTAAAGGACGTCACATGTTTTAATTGTTAGAGAACTTAGATCATATTCAGCATTAAGTTTTTTTTTAACATGTTTCTGTTACTTTTTTGTGTTTTCTTCTAACACTTAGGTATAAATTACTAAGGTACTCTAAAGAGCGTCAGTACATCGATGGGTTGAACAATTTATTATATACGCCAAGAATACTGGTTGATAGGTTGTATACAAATATATCTGTAAACCTCACACCAGAGTTAGCTCCAATTGAGGACTATTAAAAAAAAAAAGACGAAGAAGTAGCTCTCATGGCACGATGCACCACAATGCTGGATCATGTACTTGGAGTGTACTCTCAGTGGAGGTCAGTGCCCGGACCATGAGAAGAGCCAGCAGTCCTGGGGCTCACAGTGTTGGCACTGTGTAAAGTCCCCCTCTTCCACCTGCCCTGTCGTGGTACACTCCACGACACGGCCAACACTGCAGAACCGGAAGCCGGTGCTGAAGATTGGAAGTTAAGAGAGCTCCTTATACAAAAAGAAATTTTTTATACTCGGATCTATAATTTAAGAGAATGCTTTTATTTCCATTTAAACATATTTTGTACATATGTGATATAAATCAATGTGTTTAAATAATTGTTGAACAATAAGCTGTGTTGCAGTTTTGCATGTAATTGGTTATGCTTCCGTTGGTCTTTTATAATACATTTTTTTATTTGCATGGGGAAAATTACTGTAAATTTATGTCACTAAACAAAGTTTAACCCTTGTGTAAAAATGAAGGAACTGTCAGTAATTGACAGTGAATACAGTAAACTGTTATACTAGTTTTCAGCTTTAGACCTCCAGCCTTTTGCGTGGAAGAAGGCTTAGCTTTTTGATGGCTTTAAAGGGAAAGAAGAAAAGACTCAAGCAGCTATTTTTCCTGCCAGGATTACCTATTTTTTTCCTTGCTTGCAAGCTTACCAGATTTAGCTGAATCACAACCACGTTGTTTATGCATATTGCATGGTATTACCAAGAAAATCTTAAATGTTGTGATGTGACATGATATAAAGGACCTCTTTATGTTAATGTCTGTTATGACCTCTGGTGTGTCAGGGATTCTGTGCCTCAAAAACGCTCCCACGCTTGTATGTTTATACAGTTTTTTTTTTTAATTTCATAGTGAACAGCACTTTTATTATTTCCAGGTCAGAAGAGCCAAAACAAAATATATTCATTTTTTAAATTAGTTTTTTTTAAGAAGAAGCTATAGAGAGCCTAAGTAGTACTTATACAGATGAATTATACTATTGGATAAGACGTTAAATGTTCTATTTTTATGAAGATAAATGCCTCATAGATTAAAAACAAATTTTACTTATCAGACTTGCACAGTTTCACCTTTAAAAATGACCCTTATAATGTCAGCCAGTTTCATACAAACTATATTTTTTTTCACTTACAGTATAATGTCATAGAATTATCTTTTGTGTGTGTGTGTGTGTGCCTGTGTGTATATGTATATGTGCGTGTGCGTGTGCGCATGGTGCTGGAGACTCACCCCAGGCCCTCTACAGTTACCTTACAATACATGATCAATTATCTAGATGCACTGATAATGGGATACTTGGGGAAGCAGGTCTGACTACCTAATAGCAAGTAGATTTACCTTAAGATTGAACAAACCTTTCCATTAAAAATTCAAAACAGTGTTCTTAACTTTGAAGATGACCAGTTATAAGGATTTTTTTAAAAATCATAAAATATTTTCACAAACTTAAAATCTTATATAGTCTATAAAATAAATCTTTGAAAATAATGGAGAATGATAAGATGCCTCCATCTGAGAAATGTTTGAATAAAATTTGCCTCTGAGTTGTTCACCTTAAATGGAAATACGGCTATGTATCTCAGGTTGTAGATTTAATTTTCCAGGACCATTTTCTATACCAATTTTAGTAACACAAATGACCATAAATGAAATCATAAAATAACTGAGAATCATATACTTGAAGGAAATAGTTTCTCTGTAATATACCTGACAGAATTTTCCATATTTATTTCTTAGAAATATTTCCAAAATATTCTCTGCCATTTTATTTGTGGTACTCAAAATAGTAAAAAGAAAAATCAAGCCTTCCGAAAAGTACAAACATTTGTACTTAACTATGTTGTCCATTCATTTTGTGTCCCTATAGCTAATGTACTTTTTTTTTTAATTTGGTGAAATGTAAGAAGATAAAATGACCGTGTTAACATTGTTGTTTACAGTTAACAAGGTAGCAGGGCACAGGGACATAATTAACCTACCAGTGCTGAAGTGTTTAGTGGTGGGGAGAATTAGTGTTGTTTCTGAGTCTTACTCAGGAAACATGATTTTTTTCTCATTTTAATGTAGGGCTGTCCACTTTCTGATGTCTTTTCATTTTGACATACATTCATACTTTCAAGGGGATTCAGAATCTGCCTTATTTTGGTGGTTTAGTCTGACATTAATTTTTTAGGAGTTGTATGCAAATGTTTTACTTTTTACAGTTTTGAATATGGTGTGCCATCCTGTAAAAACTACCTTATAATTTTTTTAAGTGCAGATCTAAAGTTATTTTTGGCTATGAACACTGACCTTTTTGTTTCCATGAAGTGATAGCTTACCTTCATTAGGTGACAATAAATCTGTTCCCTAAAGATGAATGAGTACATTGCAAAAGTAATCAGTCTTCTGTTTAGTGTTGGGTTGTTTTATTAATGAACCATGTATTAATTATCCACTCTGTATTAGGTCCAATGCTAGATGTGACTATTTAGAAGTATTATTTTATTCTAAACAAGTCAAGCAAGTTAAAACCTTGAAATTTTGAAGACATTCTCTGATTATTTTATTTTTTTCAGTCTCAAAGTCATGAAACCTACATTACATAGAAAATATTAGAAGATCACTGTGGCACTCAGAAAATTATATAGTGCCTTTCACTAGAGAAAGAGGTCATGATTTACAGCCCTGTTTGTAGAAAAGAAAGGGGAGGACACACAGGACACACATTTGTTAAAATTGTATCTAATTCACTGATAAGATATCATTAACTTCTTTGTTAAACTAGGATTTGATGAGCAAAATTAAAAAATTTGATTCAAAGAAATAATCTTATAAATGTGTTAAAATGAACTTTACAACTTTGGTGGGGGGATGATTGGGTGGGGGGACAGGGGGAGGATGGGAAGGAATGGGAAAGGGAAACAAAGGAGGAGGCTACAATGCTTGATAAGAAATGTACTCATTATCTTGCCCATGTAATTGTAACCCCTCTGTACAGTATTTTCACAATAAAAAAATTTAATTCAAATTTTTGTTTGTATATTCTGAAAAGGAATTCACTAAGAATCCTTTTTTATATTATACAAATACAAAACTATGAATTAAAAATTTAATATCCCATCCTGGCTAAAACACTGTATTCTAAAGTAAAGTGGAAAAATAGCCAATACAGTATTCTTTAGAAGAGTCTCTATGAATGAAAAGCAAATTTTGCGTGTGTGTGTTTTTTTTAATTTGACCTTTGCTTTCCTCCGTAGTATTCTTCACATACTTTACAGATAAATAGCACTCTAGATTCATTGCCTTGGATTTGTAAGTATGCCAATTGAGAGAAACAAAATGATCATAGTGTTGTCAGACAGAGGAAGTGTACTTAAGTTTTTCTTTATCCAGATATGAAAGGCTTCTACATTAATGCACTGAAATAAATGCTAGTGATCTCTTGTACTCTCATTTTTTTTTGCTTCTCATGGAAATGTTTGTACTTTTTTATCATTGTCTTTTATGAAATATAATGTTCTAAAGACTTTGTGTGATGATTTAGTTATTTCCTCTAAGGATTTTTTGGGGTTACTGTGGTTTTATTTTCCTGAATTTGAAGGCAATTATCGATTTTTGTCTTGGTTGACTAGGATTGCAACATAAACCAATGTAAGCAATCATAGCTTACATACATTTAGCAATCACATCATTGTTTTTACCTTAACACTGACACATTCAAATATTGAAATATTTGAATAAATATTTTTATTAATATAGTGGTAATATCTAAGCATTTGGCTTTACCATACACTTTCTTCTTCACTATATATTGCAAATGAAACCAGTCATGTCATAATCATTCGATCACTTAAAGTCATGACATTTAGCTGGTGTACTCTACCTTAGGTTCCTACCTCTGATGACAGAGCATAATTCACTTTAATAACCACATGTATGTACACATGTGTATAGTGCTGACTTTAAACACACAGCTTATGGAAGGACTTGGACCAAAATGGGTTTTATATAGAAAAGGCTGTTGCTAAGCAGTATATACTCTATTGGTCTTGATTTAAATTATTTCAGAAAAAAACACAAAAATGGTTCATCATGCAACTCTACTGTAACTAAAAGAAAAATACATGGCTAAAAAGTAAGACATCCTTCTCAATACATTCCCATAACATATTTTTATGGACATGAAATCCGTTGTGAATTTAATCTTCCCAGTTAAATTTGTCATCTAGAGGGCACGCATCTGATAGTTCTACACTGAAGTAGTTACTAAATTCTGTGTGTAAAACTGAAGGATTGAAACACCTGAAGATCCATCATCTTCAAGTGAAGCTGATGTCTCTTCTGTAAATACTGCTTTTGTATTTCACATGTTTGCTGAGCATCTTGACAGGAGTAACTTTTCTCCTTGCATGTAATAATTCCCACTTGTACACATACTTTAGGAGGGTCATTGAGATCATGTTTTTCTTCAGCGGATTGTAATAGTTTTGCAGTAAACTTTTAGGAGGGCTCTGAAGAAAATTGAGGTTATATCTATAAGTAGTGACTTTGGATGACACTCACCTGAGTTTGAATGCAAGGATCCCTTGTCATAAGCTGTGAGACATTAATACCTTTTTTCCAGCTCTTTTAGTTTTTAGTTTTCTTGTATCTTAGTGTAGTATGGTAGTACTTATCAGAGGATCTTTGAAGCAAATAAGCTGACTCCAATGACTCCACTAGAACAAGCCCAGTGCCTGACAAATTGAAAAAAAAAACTTAACTCATTAAGTCAGTTTACAGAAAGATAGTGTGTTCTTTAATGCTAGGGAGTTAAGCCTGAGATTCTACATAATTATGTAAGTACAATTGAGTTTGTCAGTAATTTTCATGGGAAGAAATGTGACAAGCCTTCAGTCAGTCTCTTTGCTGAGAGGTTGGAGACTTAGCATGGAAAGCAGCTATATCTGTATCTGTCTCTATATATAATGTAGGGGGTGGGAGGCATTGAATAACTCAGAGCTTGTCTCAGTGTCACAGCCAAAGATGTAAAATATCACCCTTGTGCCTGCACTACTGCCTCCTCCCTTCTAACTTGGCTCTTTGTTTTGTTCTGTTTCCTTCAAAGGTCCTTCTTCCTCTCTTCCATTATTCCCACCCCACCACCTCCTCTCTAGACCAAAACTCATGTTGTAACAGTCTGCAGTAGTGTGTTCTTTAGGGATGGGAATGGTCCAGTATCTGCCATTGATAAGAGCAACGGCTAGCTACAGGTAGCCCATAAGGAATTGGTATGTGCCTATGACTAAGGAACTGGAGTTAAGATGTTCTTAAAATAGCTTACAGCATCAGATGATCTCGTACTTCCAAAACAGTATGGACACAGACTCCTTACTGAGGCCTACCAAAGCCAGATCTCCTGCTCAGAATTCTGAACTGCTGACCCACCCATATTTGCTCAACTCAAGGCACAGATCCCTTCCAGTCATTCCCTGCTTTGCTATTCATTATGTCATGATTCACTTCAGCTCTCACTGCCCAGATGCCCTTTTCCTTGGTGTAAGATTTTGTGGTCTGAATGTATCTTCCAGGTTGCCACAGAACCTGTGTCTCTTGAAGCATTTATTTACGTAAATGGCTTCCCATTGCCTGATGATAAAATCCAAGTATTTCTTTCTTTTTTTTTTTGGTCAGTCATGGGGCTTGAACTCTGGGCCTGGGCACTGTCCCTCATCTCTTTAGCTCAAGTCTAGCACTCTGCCACTTGAGCCACAGCACCACTTCTGGCTTTTTCTGCTTATGTGGTGCTGAGGAATCAAACCCAGGGCCTCATCCATGCAAGGTAAGCACTCTACCACTGAGCCACCCTCCCAGCCCAAATCCAAGTATTTCTGCTTCATGTATCAGGCCTGAATGACCTAACTTCCATCTACCTCTCCACCCCTGACTCCTGCCTCTTACTCCTAGTTTGCTCTACATTCCTGTAAATGACCTCAGTAGCTTGTGCCATACTACTTGCTTTTATGTGCATCTTCTTTACTTCGTCTACCAGAGGACTAATTTTTAAGATATGTTAAATCTCTGGAAGCCTCCCCTGTGGACCTAAGGAGAAGTTAACTGTCTCCCTACGGTACATAAACCCTACCAAAGCATGGGTTATACTCGTGGTTTTTCTTTCCATACATAGACTGATGTCTTTGAAAATGGGGAATCTCTATTTTACATTTGTACTTAGCATCCAGCACAGTGCTCGATGAATGAATGATTCTGTGAAGGGAACTCTCTTGATGATCGAATTGGGAGAACATTGACAGCATTCTAGACTACTGTTGTATGAATACCTGTGTCTCACACTTCCTGGGTTTTAAGTAGGATCAGTGCCTTAATTAGGACTATTACCAAAGTCAATGATTTACCTACAAGTATATCTGAATAGAGAACTCAGCTCTTTTGACAACATCTTTACAATTTTTAAAAAATGTACTAAGGCAAAGATTGAAGCAGGTTAATATTTGAAAGAAAAAATTGCTGCCATGAATAGTACATTTTTTTAGAAAGTCAAATGTGAACAACATTGAGATATCACCTCACCCCAGTTGGAACAGCAAAAATCAAGAACTCTAACAACAACAGATGCTGGAGGGGATGTGGACAGAAAGGAACCTTACTTCATTGTTGGTGGGAATGTAAACTTGTTCAACCACTTTGGAAAGCAGTATGGAGGTTCCTCAAAAGACTTCACATAGAACTCCCCTATGACCCAG